TTATAAGATTATAAGAATGATTATAAGATTATGGAATGATTATAAGATTATAAAAAGGATATAGACAGATTATTAAGATTATAATGAATGTAGAAAGACTATAAGACAGTCATGATTACCTAATCGACCCAAGATTTCAAATCTGGAGCCCGATTTTGGTTTTTGTTCCACAAATGAAGGGTACTTATGAAGTAAGATCCCACTCCGAATTTGGGCTCTGTAGCTCAAACGGTTTGAGAGATATAAATTCCTAAAATTTTGATGCAAGAACTGCGTCTTTGAGAGGGGGTATTAGTAAAACTCTATAGATCTTTGCAGTGAGGTCAAAATTGACTACACCATTGGAAAGAGAATTGAAAACTGATTCAAAACCATCTATAGCAAAAAGTTGGAATTCTAATTCCTACCCTTCAATGAAAGATAGCCAAAAACAAGCAGGCCCGCCCTTCCGCCAAACGAAGTTGCCAGCTTCGCTTCGCTGCGCCGGCAACTCCGTTCGGCAGGGGCCGGGCCTGCTTGGCCTGCCGGCGGCGATGGTCGGGCCTGCGGCCCGACCATTTCTGTCACGCGATTTGCTGTAGAACATAATCAAATGATGTAACGGGCCTTCGGCCCGCAAAGCCCGTCGTCCTTAAAATTTGCCCCGTAGACACGAGTAAGGGATGTAACGGTGAAACACCGCGACTACAACCCACCCTTCTGCTTAGAAAACGTTTTTGGGGTGGGGGGAGGGAGTTTCTTACCTCTTTTGCGGTTAAGGGCCTTCTTTTACATTTAATTGTTCACTACAGCAATTTTTAACTTATTTCTGCAAACAAGGCCCTCTAGCGCCTAAACGGTTAGAGATAGAGCCAAACGGACGAAATTTTCGTCAGAGGGCGCTACTTTAAGAAGTTACCTCTTAAGAGACCTTCCAATATTTTCGAAATTAATAAATTTATTTTTGGGCCACTTTTGTGAGAGAAACTCCCTCTAGCGCCCAAACGGTGAGAGATAGAGCAAAACGGACAAAATTTTCGCCCAAAGGGCTCTACTTTGACGAGTT